TTGGTACCAGGGATCTAACTCGGGTCCTTGTGCTTGCGAGGCAGGCGGCAGAACCACTGAGCTAAATTCCCGGTCCACCAGTGTTTGTTTTTATATTCAGGTCTTTGATCCATTTTGATTTTATTACAGGGTGAGAAATATGGATCTAAGTTCATTATTCTTCATGTGAATAATTAGTTTTCCCAGCAGCATTTGTTAAAGCAATCTTTTGTCCTGTATATTTTTGGCCCCTCTGTCAAAGATCAGATAGCTAAAGGTGCCTGGGGTTGTTTCTGCATTTTCTATTCTATTCCACTGGTCAACGTGTCTGTTTTTGTGCCCATACCAGGCTAGTTTCATTACTATAGTTTTGAAGTATAACTTGAAAGTCTGGGATTATAATACCTTTTGCTTTGTTTTTGTTGCTCAGGGGTGCTTTGGCTATTCTAGGTGTCTTCTAGTTCCATATAAATTTTGGAATCATTTCTTTCTAGTTCTATGATAAATGCTGTTGGTATTATAAGAGGACAATATGAGTGGATCAAGGGTCCACTGTACTCAGTATGACCTCATTTTAACTTACATCTTAATTACATTGGCCAAGACCCTATATTCAAATAACATGCTAGGAATTATCCTGATCACAGCTTTTCAGAGGACATAATTCACCCTACAACAAACTTCCCTCACTGTTCCTCCCAAATCAATCCTAATCTCCCCTCTAGTATACAGTATTCACATCACTTCAACTACCCTCCCTCCTTCTCTTCTATAAAATCTCCAACTTATATTTTTCCTCAGTCATATCAGAAGCCTGTCCTTAGAGTCATGGGCCTGAAGGGTTACCAAAATTAGCTTGGAATTAGAAAAGCCTGTTTTGACTGTGTTAAGGTTCCATGTAAAGGGTATTTTTGTTCTCATTACTGTAATTCCAAAATAAAATTATTCTATGGAGTAATCCTAATGAGAGCTCTAAATAGAGTTTTTTATAAAGGAATTATAAATTGTAGGGAAAGTTTTAGAATTCACTAAATTACAGGTTAATAAGAAACTGCTGACTGGCACAACAACCTAAATGTCATATGACAATATTATTTATAGATGAAAAATGCATCCCAAGTTTCAAACCTTAAGCTTACAAGGGAACTTTGAGAATATATCCATTTGTGAGGAACTGTATAAAAAAAAATCTAGTAACAAAATAACACAACAACAATGTGCATGCTCCTCCTCAGACAAGGCATCTTTAAGTAGAGGTTTAACATAGTTTCAGGGAATTGAATAGTAGAAAAGACCAACTCAGTGGTCTTTACACTCAAGTCCATATATTCGGAGAATTGTTTCATTTCTGTATTTCCATCCTGATAACACTAAAAATGAGTAAGACTATTGTGGGTCATTTCCATGTATATCTTCTAACTGAGCAAAGGCATATAATTCAGTGCTATATTTATGTTTGAGTTTTTGAAAAGCATAGGTGCTCATAGATTTCCCAAAATAACAAGTGCTTAATTTTTACTACCTTGGAAATGTCTAGCTGATCTCAGCTTAGCACATCCTACACTCATAATGGCAATTATGACTCAAGTAATCTTGTATTCCTGTTGCCTTTTAAAATCAGTTTTAAAGACAAAATTTGTCTTTCAAAGTAACAATTTACAATTGAAAGATATCTGCATAGAATAAGACCTTAGAAGTTGAAAATTTCATCTCACATTCTGCAAATGACAGCATGGCAGAAAACCAATGACATGAAAGACAGGAGAAAATAATACAGATGTATTTGTACCAAGGGGCAACTAAGTATGCCATAATATGCTCTATGAACAAAGGTTGTGCAATTGTTCAAACAAAGAAATGGAAGATTTTATTCATAATATAGCAATACCAACAAAAGCATTCTGCCAGGCGTGGTGGCTCATGCCTATAACCCAGCACTCAGGAGGCTAAGGCAGGAGGATCACTGCGAGTTCAAGACCAGCCTGGGCTACACAGTGAGTTCCAGAACAGTCTGAACTACACAGTAAGACCCTGTCTCAAAAAAACAAAAAACAATTAAAAAAAAAAAAAAAAAAAAAAAAAAAAAAAAAAGCATTCTGTATCACTGTATTATTGAAAGGAGATATAACAGCTGGTTGATGATGCTTTTATAGGAAACAATGTAAAATCTCCACCCTTGTATCATGAGCATATTACTATATGAATTATTTCATTAAATTAATGGTAAAAGGGTTCACAAAATGCTTGGAAGACATGGAACTCATTTTAGGAGGGAGGAATGGAAAAAAGAAGGCACAAAGGTAGGAATAAGCTAAGGACAGTAAGTAAACAACCCTGATGAGGTAAAATAGTCCACCTTTCGGGAATGAGAAGGTTGATGAATGAGGCTGATATAAAGAAGGCCTTGTATAAATGTAGTCATTTAAATTGGATCAAATAGTCTATTTCAGTTCAACACATATGTACTGAGGGTTTACTACATGACTAAGTAGTACCACTGGAGATATGAAGTTGAGAAAGAAGGGACTCATATACTCAAGGAAGTCATAGTATAATGAGGGTCAGGCAAAAAATAAAGTGTAATGAGTAGCAATATCTAAAATTGTTCAGGAGAGTGCTTAACATTTTTGTGATTATTTGGGGCTTGGGTGGAGAAAAGGAAAGAATGCAGGTATCCTATGTTAGGAATTTCTTCAGCATACTGTATTATTTCTCCTTGGATGAGAGGTCAAAGTGTTTGTTTTACCCTATTTTCCCAATGCTCAGCACACAGCATGACATATATTTCCTCATGTGTTTGTTGAATAAATGAGTGACCACTGAGGACATTCTCGTTTTAAATATACTACAAATGGTGGATTACTCTGTATCCAGTAGGACATAGTAAAAGAATATTTTAGACCTGTCTCTTAGTGGGGTATCATATCTATAATCTCAGCAGTGTGGGAGGTGGCGGCAGGAAGATCACAAGTTCAAGCTCAGCCTCAGAAACTTACTAAGACCCTGTTTCAAAATTTTAAGAAAGGTTGGGAATGTAGTTCAGTGCAAAAGAGAATATAAATATATATAAATATCTGGTATAAAACTCTCTCCCTAATTCGGATAAAGTTGATAGTAACCCAATCCTGAACTCTTCTGTCTGGGTCTTAGGAAAAAATAAGTCAGTGACAGATGAACCATGAATTCTGATGCAGTCACCTTAACCTTGGAGGAGACAGAAAAAGAAAGCACTGTTATGACAGGAGGAAAAAGTTGTTTAAAAGTCAGGTCATAGATCAAAACTATTCTTGTTTGTATCACAAATACTTTTTTTTTTGGACAATGCTCTGAGACCCAACTCAATCCCTCTGACTTACTCAGGATAAGACTCTATAAACCACAGTTTTTATTTTGCATTAACCAAAATATAACATCTTTTTTATTATTCCCGTTTGCCCCTGCTCCCCAGATATACAAGTTCCTGAGTGGCTTCCTATGTCTTGTTTACAGCTAGCTATATCCTCCACACTTAGTGTCTAGTACATATCAGCGATTCAATAAATATTTGTTAAGTGTATGTATGGACATGTTCTCAGCCACAGCTATTCAGAGAGAAAGAATGTTTTATGCAGACATTATCCCCTGGGATCAAAAGTGAAAGAATGAAGGTACAGGTAGTTGAGTTCAATTAACAAAAAGGGGCTTGATATTGGTTGTAGGCGTTATGGTAGATAAACTGTAAGGTTTTTACCAAAGAATCAAGTACATAATCAATTTTATATAGAGAGCATCAATTAAAATAACATACAAGTCTGACACTGAACAAATAGGTCTGGGAGGAGACATAGTTCCTACTGAACTAAGAAGAAAGAGGAACATCCATACTGTACTGAGAGGTGCAGGAGGAGTGCGGAGGGGGATAGGAACTCAACAATGAAGCAGGAGCAGACAGAAGTACAAGATGAAGCGCAAAGTGACGTCACTTAATAGGATGTGAAGTGTTTTCAGAGAACTGAGGATCTGAAGAGATGCAAATGTTACAGAAAGGTCTTGCAAAACGTGAAATAAGGGAAAGTTAACATTTTCCTATCCTGTAATGACAATTTTAGTGACGCATTCTGACGCTCTTAAACTCAAGGCCTTTCCAGCAGCGTACAATGCATGTAGCCGAAACTGGACCTGCCGGACAATTCAGACTGTCGACACCAGAGAAACCCAAGTCACTCTTGCACTGCCTCTTCGCTCCAGTTGAGCACCTTCTTGTCTACACCTCAGGCCTCCCTCTGCCGCGGTCTCCTCGCCTCCCACAGAGCACATCCCACTACATTTACCTGTCCAGGCACCCTCTAGGGGAACACAGGCTCAGGACCGAAGGGCGCAGAACAGCCCAGGCCGGCTACCGGCCCCCAGAAGCGGATGCAACCGTACTCCGCAGACTTCCGCGTAAAGCGCCTCGCCTACCCGTGGCCTCTTGGGAGTGTGAATCTCCTCCAATGGGAGCAGGCTGCTAGGCAGCATCCGCCCAGTTTCCCGCCTCCTGCGTTTCCCAAAAGCCGTATTGCATTCCGGGAGTGGTAGTTCCGACTGGACTAGCATCAGGTCGGTCTCACATTGGGTAAACAATTCTTGTCGTAAGCAACGTCAAACGCTGTACAAAGATCCGAAAAAAATGAGAAGTTGAAACGCAACATAATCTACCAACGTTGAGGGGGCGAAATAAATGAAGAGTCAAGCTTCCCGCGCTATCTCTCCGCTCAGTGTCCACAGGAAAAGTCGCTTGATACAGAGCAAAATCCATTTGACAGGAACTCCCTCTATTTTCGTCATGAAGATTTCTAACTTCTTTGTACCCTTCTACCCTTCACCCATTCTTTATCCCATTCTTTTTCAACAATAAAAACAGCTGTGTTTGGGCTTGGGATTTAGCTCAGTGGTTCCGGCGCTTGTCTTGCAAGCACAAGGACCTGAGTTCGATCCCCGGTGCCCCCCACAAAAAACAGCTGTCTAAGCCTGCCCCACTACATCCGTACTTTCTCTTGCCAAAGCTCCGTACCCCGTCTAACTAACCCTCTTCATTATTCATCACAGATTCCCTGTTTATTTGTTCTTTATTATCAGCATTTAAAGACTCAAAATTTCTCTTTTATAGAACATTCTAAAGTCGCCCTTTTCAACCCACACACCCAGCCTCCTCACCACATACAGACTTCAGCCAGTAGTCTTTCTCCCACTTCTCCATTCCAATCAGAATCCTCAAGAGTTGTTTAAAAACAGTAGATACTTTTCAGAGGTTATCATACCTCAGCTCTCCGAGATATTACATCGATTATTCCCTCTTCAATGAAATCCGATATCCTCTTTTCTCTAATACACTAAACTCTCCAGCTTTCTCTCCCACTTAGGTAACGCCAAGTTTTTTGTTGTTGTTGTTGTTTGTTTTGTTGTTGTTGTTGTTGTTTGGCACCGGGGATTGAACTCTGGTCCTTGCTCTTGCAAGGCAGGCCACCGAACCGCTGAGCTAAATCCCCTGCCCACGCCAAGTTTTTCTTGAAAATGTTCGTGCTCCTTACATGTTCCTGCCCTACACTCTCGTGTTATTTTGTTTTTCACATACTGTACTTCTTGGTGATTTTAACCATCCCCCTTGCTTTGGTTGTAATCTATATGGTGATTGCAAGAACCAAGATAGGGAGCCCAGATAACACTCCTATAATCCAGAGTTAGTTATTTAATAATAGCGAAGCATCTCATTCTGACATCTAAAGTGTAACGTACTTCCCAACTGACCTAATTGCTACTTTTCTGCTCGAAACCACCCCCTCCCCGCCCCTCGTCCTCTTTCTCCTCCTCTAAATTCCATCTAAGTGAGTGGTACAACCTGTCAGTTAATTGTCCACACAAGGAAGCTGGGTATTATTCTGAAAGATCACAGCTAAAAACAAACAAGTCATTAATTATACCCCCTAGATATTTCATCTCACTAGGCAAGCTTCCGTTTTCTCTTCGTTAAAATGAGCATGAAAATAGTACCTGTCTTTAAGGCATTTTCACAATGGTTAATGAGCAATAGTACCAGGCAGAATATAGACGTTTTAGAATAGTTTAAGTATTGAGGAAGCATTGTATTCGTCATTACTTGTCCTTCATTAGATCTTAATTAAATCATAATGATAATGAGCATTTACTTTTATTTAGTGTGCATTTAAACAGAGAAGAATAATGACAAATAGATATTTTGTACAAGTTACCCCCATTTGATTCCTTAGTATTTTTTCCAAGCATTCCAGGACTATACTAGTGGCCATGAGGTATTATAATAAGTGCTTCTACTCTAATATGTAGAGTATAGCATATTTTATTGTATTCAGCTCTGTACAGGCTATAGACAAATTGAAGTACATTCGGGGAATTATGGCTAAAATCTGCTGGGCATTAGAAACCAGAGATAATGTCTCTACACCAGTAATATTTCCTCAGAAATTCAAAGCCTGCCATGATCTGACACTACTCTATGTCTTCTGCTTTAATTCTTAGTATCTTATAAGGAGAATGAGTTTTAGAGTCAGGTAGACCTGAGTTACTATGTTTGTAAATTCTAAATGTTGCATCCACAGCTTCCAGTGCCCTCTCAAAGCCCCTCTTCTTATTACTTATTCTCTCCAAATAATCTCCATATTCCAAAAGTTGTATCTCCAGCATAAAAGTTCTTACATTGGGAAACCAAGAAAGGCTTCTCTGAGCAGGTGACATGTAAGCTGAAATGTGAATGTCAGAAAGGAATCAGCCATAAAAAGATAAAAAGCAACAGAAATAGTAAGGTCCATGTGAGTAGAGAATAATGGTAGTGAAGGGGGAGTGATCGGAAAAATCCCACTGGTGTTTGCTCCTCACATATATCAAGCTTCTTCCCACACTGAATCTGCACACCAGCTCTCTCTGCTTGGAGTTGTATTCCTTCTTCTTTCCTTGTGGCCAAAGGGATTTTTAGGCTCATGTAAGGCAGAAAAAGAAGCCTGAATTTTAAGTGTAATGTGTAACCATTATAGAGGTTTAAATAGAGCAGTGATATGGCTGCTAAAAATTAATCTGGCTATAGCCAGCATTTAACCAAATATTTGTTGGTAGAAGGAGCTGGAACTTTTTATGTGTAAACTGCTCTTTGTCACCAATCGCTTCTATGAAAAAACAGGCAGGAGATGTTGCCACTTGTTCCTCCTTCTCCAACTCTTCTTTGGTGAGGCTGAAAATGCTTATATAGGGCATTGCTACATGTGCAAAGGTAGAAATATATCCCCAAATTATCACCATATAGCAAAAGTCATGATTTCCACCTGGGAGCAGATCAACCACGTTCTCATCTTTAAGGTTTTTGCATCAGCTGTTTGCACTGAATGCTAAGCCTCCAAATTTATGTTCATGACTTTTTTGTTATTTAGGTTTAAGTTTACTTATCCACTTCGGAGATTCATAGTAATCAAAATTCTTTTTTATTGTTAATGTGTTATTGTCTATTTATTCCATCATAATACAAATTCCACATGGATGGGAGCCGTATTACTCTTGTTTACTATTCTTTTCTCCTCAAAGTAGCACAGTGCCTGTTGTCAAATACACTTCATGTACACAAAAATTAGCCTGACGTGGATAATAAAAAAAAACATGAGATAAAATATTTTCAACCTCTAGGAAAATAAAGATATCTTAGAACATAAAAAGTATGATTCATAAAAGAAAAAAATTAAACTGGATTTCATGAAACATAAAAGTTTTACTATTTAAAACATACTGTTAAAATAAAAACATGAGTTAATGACTGAAAAAATGTTTTCAAGACACATTCCTGACACAGTATTTCCAGAGCATACAAATTACTCTCAAAACGCAATCATAATAAAAATAAAATCAAGCTGAAGAAAAACCAGGCCCCCAAATTGGGATAGGACCTGAGTAGAAAGGGCCTATATATTTTAATATTTTTCTTCTTAGAAAACATGATCAAAAAGTACATGAAAATATCCTCTACAAAACTAGTTATCAGGGAAATACAAATAACATTACTATGTACTGCTACTGTACACACATTAGAATGGCCAAAACTAAAGAATGTAATGATACTCTATATTGGTAAGAAAGTGGAGAAACTGAAACTCACATCTTAGCAATGAGAATGTTAAATAGTACAACCACTTTGAAAAATAGTTCAGCAGCTTTTTATAAAGGTAAGTATTCCATTTCCATATTGCCCTGTGATTTCATTCATAGGTACTTGTCTCAGATAAATACAAAAATATTTCCATAAGCAGACTTGTACTTCAATATTGATATCAGCTTTATTCATACTCGTCTTAAGTTGAAAACAAACCAAGTTTATAGCAACAGAAAAATTGATAAACACATTGTGATATAGACATACAAAGGAACACTACCCAGTAATACAAATTTAAAAACTGATATGTGAAAAAACAAGGCAGAATTTAAAACATAGTCTGCTAAGTGTGTGATGTCAGACACAAGAGGGTACATGCTGTATGGTTCCATTTTTCATGAAATTCAAATAAAAATGAAACAACAATGACAAAAAGCAGATGGATCTGAGGTTGAAGGGGTTTGAGAGTACAATTGTCAGTGATACAAATGTTCAACATGGTAATATTACTGGTAGTTACATGATTATATGTATTCATCAAGCTATACTGAGTACATTTTATTGTACATGAATTATTTCTCCATAATGATTTTTAAACTACAAAATAGAAAAGGCAAAAATATTTTATATTAAAAAGAGTACAATATTTGGGGAAAAGAAGAGTATTGACATCTGGGATAAGTAGGAGAATGGATACATTTAAGGAATGGATTAGATTAACAAATTATATAATCAGATTGAAGAAATTCCTCAGTTTTATAAAATGAAACATAAGAGAAAACTGTGGAAATATGTTTGATCGAAGTAGATGTGCTAACACTTGAGTAATATGAGTCTCAGAAAGACAGAAAAATATAAACAGAAAAGGAAATACTTAAATAAATAGTGGAGATTAATTTTCCATAATTAATTCTGATTATTCACAGAGTACTCTTAAGGAAAAACAGAGAAAGCCTCACATCTAGAGAGATAGTGAGATTTAAGATTATCCAGGGGAAAAATACTAACAGTTTGTAAACTGTTAAGAGAATACAAAAAGAGCAAATTGTCTAACAACAGCATATTAAGGTTATTTAACTGTGATGTAATTAGAAATTGATATAAACTATATGTCAATTATGACTGGGGTATATTCTGAGAAATGTATTGTTAGGCAATTTCATTGTATGAACATCATAATGTGTACGCAAGCTAAGACTGCTACTATGTCTTGGTGATATATATAATCTTCTGGAAGTACCATTGTATACAGTCTGTCATTATGGTGCACTTGACAGTATTTGATCTCTGAACCTGGTTCCTGGGACATCTCATTAAAAAAA